ATGTTGCTGGTCTCATGCTGCTGATTATCCATGTTGCTGGTCTCATGATGTTGCTGGTCTCATGCTGCTGATTAACCATGTTGCTGGTCTCATGCTGCTGATTATCCATGTTGCTGGTCTCATGCTTCTGATTATCCATGTTGCTGGTCTCATGATGTTGCTGGTCTCATGCTGCCGATTATCCATGTAGCTGGTCTCATGCTGCTGATTATCCATGTCGCTGGTCTCATGCTGCTGATTATCCATGTTGCTGGTGTCATGCTGCTGATTATCCATGTCGCTGGTCTCATGCTTCTGATTATTCATGTCGCTGGTCTCATGCTGCTGATACTGTTGTGCAATATCCTTTATGTAATTTCTATGTGTGTGTTATTGACAGACTTCAGAACTAGTTTAGATCCTAATTACATATAAATTATGTTTTTCTTATATATCATCTAGCTGTTTTACATGGTTGTTTAATGAAATTAACATTAATTATCAATTATTTTAATTTAGTGTAAAAAGTTTAGAAAAAATAAAGTGATTCACATCCAACTGGGCTTGCTGTTAGTCAAATATTTTGTCGGTTGTGAGCCGTTGCCGTCATTCAGCGCCATCTTTGCTCCTCCATGATGTCACACATGGGCGGGACAAGCAGGCGCTCTCCAGTTGTCACATTGAACTCAACTCTTTACCTGCCTCACCTACCTCTTCTACACATCTTTTATTTTAATTATTGATAATGTAGTTGTTGTTATCAAGGTTTAGTTAAACTTACAAAAACAAGAGTGAAGGCAACTCGAGCATGAACCCAAAGAGCTTACTGACACGGTAGATGTCTGAGTGACGACATGAGGTCTGGTTTAAAAGAGGGAGGAGGCAGATGGACCAGCCAGAGTTCAGTCTGCCGCAGCAGCTCGGCACACTCGAGATGCTTTCCTCTCTCTCTCATTATGGACACTTTAAAAGTTGCTGAGCTCTGTTTCCCACAACTAACCAACAACTCGTGCAAGAAACCTTCGCAGAAGAACTTTGAAAACATTTTCATTTATGTTCTGCTATCCTGCATCTGTTTCCTGACTGTGATTCTCAACCTGCTGGTCATCATCTCCATCTCCCATTTCAGGCATGGTCATGTGCTGCACTCTGCTATAGAATATAAAATATGAGCTGTGTAGGGAATTCCCTGCTATGCTTAAAATTAGTTCTTGTTCAAACGGTTGGTGTATATATGATGAAATACACATTGTTTCCTGACTTATCTAACGAGGCTGAGTCAGGTCCTCTGGACGGATTCTTCTTGGGGCTGGGGTTAGATTCATCTACTGGATTATTGAGCATCGGGACATTATCTGACTTATAGTTTTAATGTCTTCTTGAAAGCAGTAAAATGGCAAAACATTTATTCTTATATTTATGTAACACTTTCATATCAGCGCTTTAACTATTTTACCTCATTGCAAACTATTCACAGACATTTGGAAAGTGCTGACGGTGGTTTAAGAAAATGTTTACTTGTGTTACGTTTTGCACTATATTAACGGTGTGTTCTCGTGTTTCCAGGCAGCTCCACACCCCGTCTAACCTCTTCCTCCGCTCTCTGGCTCTCTCAGACTTCCTGGTTGGGCTCGTGGTGATGCCGGTCCGAATGCTCCTGACAGAAAGCTGCTGGTTTTTTGGGAGCTTCATGTGTGGGCTTTGCAATTATATCTCTTTTGTTATTACGTCTGCCTCAGTAGGAAACATGGTGCTAATATCAGCCGACAGATATGTGGCTATCTGCGAGCCTCTGACTTATCCCAACAAAGTGACCCAGAGTAGAGTTCAGGTCTGTGTTGGTCTGTGCTGGGCCTGCTCTGCGCTCTACAACGGCGTGATTCTCAGGGACCACCTGCAAAATCCTGACAAATATAACTTGTGCCATGGGGAGTGCGTAATATTAATTGACTTCTTAACAGGAGCTTTTGATCTGATTATTACCTTCTTTGGTCCTGTTTCAGCCATCGTTTTCATGTACATGAGAGTGTTTGTGGTGGCTGTGTCTCAGGCTCGAGCCATGAGGTCTCATGTTGCAGCTGTGGGTCTGAAGGGTTCAGCTCCTGCATCTGCTCAGAGGTCTGAGAGGAAAGCAGCTACAGCTGTTGGGGTGGTTGTGATGGTCTTTGTTTTCAGCTTCTGTCCTTACTATTATCCTTCTTTTGCAGGAAAGGACTTGCTGTCCAGTGAAGTAGTTTCAAATTTAGTGATCTGGTTATTTTATTTAAACTCTTGTCTAAATCCAATGATTTATGCTTTTTTCTATCCCTGGTTCAGAAAATCCCTTAAATATATCGTCACACTCCAGATTTTACAGTCTGATTCCTGTCATTTCAACATCCTCTAGATATCTTTCTTGTCATTATTTAATTATCTAACAAAAATAACTCACAAAAAACAAACGTAATAAAAAAAATCTACTGAAAATATGCAGGTATTTGTCTTTGGTGAGTGTTTAAGGAATGTCAGGGTTTTTATTGTTAAAACAGTGAGCACATTTTAAAACCAACCTGATCTTCATTAAATGAAGGAATGAACTGATTGTGGTGGTTGTCATGACGACTGCTTTGCATGAGGATTAGCAATCACTTCAGGGCGTTGGGTCAGGGCAGCAGTTATACATGTCCAGGTGAGTTGAGATAAAAGACAGAATGTCCACGTTCTGGGTTTGACGTGAACTCGTCTTTAATTAGACTTGAACACAAACATCATCACTCCATTGTGTGTGTGTGTGTGTGTGTGTGTGTGTGTGTGTGTGTGTGTGTGT